GGCCCTAGCCACAACCAGTTGGCGACGAGGATAAAAGTTGATGTGAATCGATTCAGTGAAAATAAGTGTCGCATGGGTCCTGCTTACGCCTTTTTGTCTACGTTGTGCTATAAACTGACTGAATAGGTAAGTGATCCCTAAGTGATAAAAAATCAAACTGTGCCATTTTACACGTACAATCATTGCTATAACGTTACCCAGTCACAGTTCCGTGGCGAGGAGATATAATCCAGCTGTTCTAATATAAATATTAATTGTTGTCGCTGATGTTCTGGCTTAGTGTAAGGAATTTGAAGAATTTTTGATCATATTTCGAACGTTCCAAAATCAACCACCTCAAATTATACCGTTTGAAAGCTATGATGCGGATAACGAAAAGTTCTCTTCTTATTACATATTGTGATCTTAAAAATGTTAGTGATGATACAAAGAAGGCTCAGTTGTTATGTTCATCGATAGGATACAATACCCTTACCGCACTTTTGGGCCCCGATATGCCATTAAGATCAATTGAATTCATTCTAGTGAATCCTTTTACGAATAGGTATGCAGTCTCTACCCCTGCATTATTTTCTCAGTGCATTCAACAGCCACATCAGTCCATGTTACGGATGGTTACAATTTTACAAATGAAAGGGTGGTTCGGTAATTCTTCTAGAAGAGGGGTGTACATTTCTATTAGTATCTTGTGAAGGATTGAAGGTTTTCCGGATTCGAAGTGCAAATCCTTCTTATAATTTCTTCGGTTTGTTATGTTGAAGTAGGTACCCTTCGAACATATCTTTCGGTACTTTACTTCCAGTTAGCTTAGGTAAAAAATAATGGGTTTACCAATAAGAGCGATAGGATTTTAAATTGAAATAAAACACAGTCAATTTGGTCAAATTTAGGTTTGATTGGTTTTATTAGATGCTGTATTTCATGCCATTTATGATTTAAACAAAATATCGTTCAATTGGCCACCGCGGCTCTTTTTGCACTGGCTCATCCGATCGGACCAATTTTCGATGACTCGGTGGATCATATCGGGTGGAATGGCAGCTATGGTCGCTCGAATGTTGGCCTCGAGCTCGTCAAGAGTCTTGGGTTTATTCGCATAAACCTTTGACTTCACATAGCCCCACAAAAAGAAGTCCAATGGTGTTAAATCGCATGATCTTGGCGGCCAAATGTGGGGGCCATTTTGAGAAATCAACGATTCACCAAACTGTTGACGCAATAAGTCAATTGTAGCGTTCGCTGTGTGGCATGTTGTTGGATAATTTCCAAGCGTTGAGGCAACGTGAACTTGTTCATGATGAAATGGCAAGCCTTACTGATGACAACTGACAGCATATGTCAAATGTTTGGCATCCAATATAGCCGCCTTAAACGTTTAAAATCCTATCGTCCCTATTGGTAAACCCTTTAGCATAAAATTAGGAAACAATTCGGTTCATTCCGCTTTCACTGATGTCTCATTGTTGCAGTCAAAACTTGGAAAAATACTGATTTAGAATATTTTTTGAAGAGTTTATGTAACCCGTATTTAAGCCTCTCTTTGAAACAAATATATCTTTTTACTCCTTCTTATAGATCAGCAATAATTCCAAAGTTATTTAATAAATTGAAATACATTTATTTAAAAGTAAACATTGAAGTTGGCCTATTTCAAACAGACACAAAAAAGAAACAAACAACCTATAATTCCTACTAACTATATATTAACGAAAATACCACTAAATTTAAATAACCCTACCTTAAAAATGTGAGGATTATGTACATGTAAAAACCAAGGACGAACAAAATATATTGAAAACTGTAAAAGTAGTTAAGACATTGGACGGACAAACGGACGGTCAGACCGACGGATCACGGACGGACAAAGAAAGTGCTTACAATAGCATACCCAATTTCGTCGGAAAATGCGCTCAAAATATACATCAACCCGCGAACATAGCGCGTGTAATTAGACAAAGGGGTCTAATTAGAAACTCGCAAAGATTTGTTAAAATAAGAATTTATGGTATTATCATTAAATTAAAAATAAACCGATGTATTATCTACGATTTCATTATAAATTTAAATTATAGCGAGTTTGACATTACCCTCGAAAACTTGTGGTAACAAGGAAAACTTTCACCGAGGATGTGTTTGCACAAAAGACGATGTTTTAGCAGGAGGTCTCACTGAACTGAAATGATTGTTAAAAGTTCCATTTAATTAAGAGAATTTTTAATGGCGATGGGTAAACAATAGATAGACCATTGAGAAAGAAAAACTAAGTTTCGTCGCGGGAACTGCAAATGGATTGCCTTCATGCACAGTAGAATGTATGACATTCATACAGGCAACCAAATCATTAATAATATACTAGAAACTGTTGTAACAATTATCATATTCAAATAGAAATAGCTAAATAAGGCTTAGCTACTCAAGTAGACCATTGATTATGTACTTAATCAACGTCACCTTAGTCTTAGTATCCGTTGGAGTGAACAGGGGGGTGGGGGAGGGGGTTTGACAGAAGTTTATCACAAAGCCAAATGCTTTTATGATCTAACGTCTTAGGCCAGTATGATAATGACATTCGTAACATATTGTCGCGAACATTCCAGAAATTTCGATAGACATCGAGGCGCGGTGAAAGATTAGTCTTCGGCGATAAAGAACAATGGTGGATGTGACGTAATTTTTCTTCGAAATATGACGTGTTTTGTTATAGAACATTCGAACAGACCCGCGAACACTAGAGAACTATCGACTTTACTATATAACCAAATGGAATTGCTTTTCCGTTTAGTTCCATCTTCAAGGCGCGTGCTATGTTATAAATTGTAACTGATAAATAATAATTACTGTTATAAATGAATCCATTTTAAGACTGTTATAAATTTATTGTTATTTAGTGGTAATAAATAAAACCACGTAATTAAATTGACGTACAATATGTTGTATTTCTAAATACAAAATTATACCGACACCGTACGTCCATACCTACTATTGTACAAACAGTCACTAACTAGTAAAGCTTTTAATCCTGTCATTTTGTTATGTTTTCGATAAGATCAATTTCTCAAGGGTCTGAGATGTCTAAAGTTCCGAACATTGTATACGGACTCTGAAGATTAACAGGATTTTGAACATTCTAGATGTTTCAGAATATTCCTACTTGGGTCTTTTTTTGCAATTTTCTTCATAACAATCACAAGACAAAGTGAAACTAACGAATCTTCCTATGCATTTGCCAATTTTGCAAAATTCTTATTCCAGGATGGCACACTAGCCTATCCAGGCAAAAAAGAGGAGAAGCGGAGGTTGACCTTATGTGTGATTTTGTACTAATTGGTAAACAAAATTTCAACTAAGTACTAAATATTACTTACCAGGCGATACAAATGGTCCAATTGTATTGCACAAGGCGTTCCACCATCCAATTTTCTGAATTGCTGCTACCTTTCAAAAGGAGAAAATAACAAAAAAAACTAAAAAACGCTTTAGGAAATCGCAAGAGAGCGACGGCTTTATTCCTTGTTTAAAAGAAAAGCGGGCTATGTGGTATATACCGCATATTTAGGAACAAATTCGTATATCGTGCAGAATATCGAAGTTATACGTATGTGAGGAATGGTATTGGAAACGCACGTATCGAATGAACTGCGTTCTGCCGGAGACTTGCCACATATGTTAGATACTATGAATCACGGTTTTTGCTAAAATCCAAAGAAATTAATTAATCAAGGATTCATTTGTACTCCTATCAAATTCCAATTTAAAAAATTTGATTACCATTTATCAGTATAAGTGCACCTATGACTGTATAAGGTGTTACGGAATGGGTAATAAGGATCATTATACTTATTTTGTTCGTACATAATTAAATTTCCACCCCGCACATATACGCTTCTATAAACAACGGACTAAACGAAATACAAGAGTACTTGTTATTGTTTCATTTTTTACTTAAAAACGAAATCTCTTGAGCTTTAATACCATGTGGGACAAACACAACAGTAACAGTCCCGTCTGATATATAAAGGTCGAACAGGCAAGCAACAAAATGAATAACGAGGTTGAACTTCCATCCCTCCTGAAAAGTTGTCAGCTATTATGCCACCCTTACAATCTTCCAAGAGCACAGCATATTTATTATTTGTCGAAATTTTTATACCCTTACATAAAATATGCACAACTGTCATAGATTTAACAGTTTCATATAAATACTGAATGAAGATGATACATTAGGGTTGTTGTTTTTTGCTCAAAGTATTGGAATATGAAACATTAAAACGGGCGTAACAATAAATGACTAGGTGTATACGTAGGTAAAATTGCTACGTACGAAAACCTAACAATTTGGTATCGATTTAATTGAATCACGAAAGGAGTTGACATTTGTACCATACGACCGTGAGTGCGTATTGAAAATCAAGATGAGTATTTCAGCAAATTCAGACGCGTTTAAGTTTCAAAGAAAATTGATGGTTTTAACTGGTTTTTGGCCACAACGGGGTTCGAGTATACTATACCGGGTGTATGGTGCCACGCATTATGGGGCGGTGGTCAGTTTTGCTTTATCGTTACTACTGAGTACCATGGTGGTCAAAGATTTCTCTCAGTTAATTCAAGGGTGGTCCATGTTTGTCGCCATTCTCAACTGTTCCATAAAATTTACAATATTTTATTTTAAAATGCCCGCGTTTTTAGACCTTTTAGACTTTCTCCATTCGCCCCATTTTTCGTATCACAAAGAGGAAGTTGATTACTATCTTAAACGCATTATTAAGATCGCCACAGCAGTTGTGAAGTTATTTTTTTGCAGCGGAGTGACTACTGTGATATGCATACTATTAGCTCCCCTTATTACTTCTCAAGGCAGTCGAACTACCCCATTACCGTTTCCCATCGACTTTCAAAAGCACCACATTGCGATTTATCGTTCAGTATACGTGTATCAATGCATCGCGTTATTCTCAGCGGCCTGGACCAGTATTGGATTTGATAATTTGTCTACAAGCATGATGGGTCTTTGTTCGGCGTATTTCGCGATACTAAGAAGAACTATTCTATTAACCACGAGCAAATTTCAAAAGGAAAATGATGAACTTTATACCAATGATTGCGAAAAGTACAACGAGCAAGTACATGACAATTTAAGCAAATGCGTAGAACATCATTTGGCAGTAATTAAGTAAGTTAATCTAAATGTTAGAAATTATCGAACTTTTCAGTTCGTAGGTTTACTGAGGATATTGAGAACATTTTCCGTTATGTATTTTTAAGCCAATTTGTGTGCAGCGCTGGTGGAATTTGCTTGGTTGGTTTTACATTTATAAACGTAAGTGGCGTCTTGTTTGCTTTTTTTTACACTGCTCTCAGTAACTCCCAACTCCCATGCTATTTAGGAAAATTACTAAAGGTTCGATTAATTGGCGTGGAAAGGTATATGTTGATTTGGCAAAAGAATAAACGAATTTCATTGAATGGGGGGATTTTTTTGATTAGTAAAAAAAATTCGCGTCATAAGCTTGAAGGCTTGAACTGATGCAGAAGCAATTCGACTCGAGCGAGTAGAGTGAGTAGAGTAATAGTAGAAATTGACAGTGGCGGGGGAAATGTGATCGTAAATAAGCGATTCATAAGGGAGAACTCGTGAAGAGACTCGCGGTAAATACAGATAACTAGAGGGAAAATTCTGTTATCCCAATAAATAAGAGATTCAAACTAATAAGAGGTTTTTTATCTGTTACTAAAAATTAATTCAAGGGGATGGTCTAACTGAACTTTTATGTTGTTTGATTCTTTGTGCAGCGGGGTTCAGATTCGTGAATAAGAATAAGAAATAAGAAAGTAGTAACCTGTAGGGCGGTTTAGTGTGTTATAGAAATTCTGATAACAGATTTAGATTCTCCGAAAAAAATGTCCATAGAAGGTGTTAACGGAAACCATTCATTTCCGACCGTTTAAGCTAGAGAAAATGATGAAAAACTGTATAGACCGAGAGCTCACGTGAAAAATACATCATGAGGTACAAAATGTTAATTATTATTACTTATGCGATTTTACAATGTTAATGAAGTCTATAGACATCCCTGGACGCGTTAGTGCGGGGGCGGCGTTTGAAAATGGCGAAAAAAATATATACAGGGTGCCCATTATGTATGGAATATAGTATCTCTCTAGGTACATATCAACTGTATACAAAAATTTTTTATATGAAAGTTGTTTAACATTTTATTTCCCTTAATAAGGCAGCATTCAGTTGTTTTTATTTCAGAAAACAAATGAATATAACGAAAAACAATTGAATGTCTCATTTGTTTTATTTCGATGTAGGACATATATAGATTAATTTTATTGATGTAATTATAATAATTTTTTTTAAAATTTGCTTTTATTAGGGTACTAACATGTTACATCATCGAAAAGAAATAAAATCTCTATCAAATGAGACTAATGAAAAGGTGAACTGCCATTTTAAAAAAAATTCAATTGTTTTTCGTTCCTCATTTGTTTTTCTGTTATAAAAACGACTGAATGCTGCCTTATTAAACAAGGAATCGTCATGGCAGACGATTTTGGCAAACGCCAAACGCCGAAATTCACGAATTTTCCGCTAAAATCTCGTGATAAGGTACAGAGTTGTTTTTTGGCTCAAAAGAACTGTATTTTGAGATCAATTCTATAAAAAATCTACACTGTTTCGGAGATCCCAATGGAGAACCACGAATTTGAACAACTCTGTACAGCTCGTTTATTCCTCGAAGAAGCATGAGAATTTTAGTGTAAGCCCGCCTACTATATGCCAGTCAACTTCTCCTATAGTTTCAGCCAAAGCTGCTCTACCAACCCAACCACCTATACATTTAGAAATATCCATGCCCGAACCCGGATGCGAACCAGGGACCCTTAGTACTGCAGTCCAGCTTAATTACGTCATTGACATTTGCCGTCGGTTTACCTAAATTGGAGTGACAGTGAAAATCGACTGTGAAAAGGTGCCATGATGTTCTATACGAAACCCATAAAGGTTGTACGATCTTCCTTGTTCAAAAATTAAGTTAATTAACTATTGGGGTTGAAGGAGTGAAGAATATCGGCGTGGGCATATTGCTATATATTTAAGGTGTACTGTAATAGTTATTTACATAAAAGTCAGGAAAATGGCACATTATTGGCGAGGAAATATCGAAAAACGGCGTTAATTTCTGTGTCAAGTAGAGTCATTTACACTTAAATTGTAAGAAAGAGTTCTTAAAGATTCGATCATTTTCTTTAGCCAGCTTGAGAATTAAAAAACTTTAAATTTTTCATGTGGACCCGTCCAGAGTTTAATTTTTCAATGCGTTTATTACTAGCTTAAGAGTGTCCTCCAGGTTGGTGCACTTTATTGTTGTGATTGTAAATAGTTAGTAGACACCTTTTTTTTATTTTCTGTTAAAACATTTTAAGTTTAGTGACCACTGTAACTTGATTCTTACAGCCTTACTACCCAAATTTGACACAAAACTAATATTTATTTCCAATTGTTACAAGGCAATCAAATTTTGGTAATCTAAAATGTCAAAATAAGCATAAATTGTTAAATGAAGATACATCCGATCTTGCGTCGTTTTGAAGTTATGAATTGCCAGACAGAATTAACGTGCGCATCGAAATCATTGCTGAGCAATGCCTAGCCGCTATTAATGATGTTAATCAACGTGCCACAGCTTGTCCTCGTGCGTGGTAGCTTTTTAATTTGGATTCGAGTTTTTCAATTGTTCGCAAAAAAGTAAAATTTTTAAGGTTGTAAAGAATATCAAAGTTCTGAAGTATCTTCTCAAACAACTTGAAAATTGATGAATATGCAGCTTTGGGTGCGTAGCAAGGTCACGATCTTAAAAAAACAATCTGAGATTGGTAGTAAAAAAGAGATTAACCAATGAACAATTAGACATGGCTGTTGGGAGTCACGGTCCGCACTTCGGGTGCTGCCGATTAGCAGAATAGTGGATATTCGCTCTGGGTGAAAATGTTTTTGACCACGGGAACATATCCACGTTTCAGTAGCAAAAAAAAAGTGTATTTGTTTTTCCGAAAAGAAAATAGGACCTAGCTGAGAAGGTTTGAAAGAATTTGTATTTTGATAATTATAAAAAAAGAGTATCGTGTGTTTTTTTCCTAATACAATTTGGAACAAGTTTTCGGGTATAGAACGCCGCAATTACAAGTGAAAGTGGAAAAAATGTAAACCAAGTTCGGAAATTTAAAGCGGATTAATTTCAACAGAACGTTTATGCTGAGGTAACAAAAATACGCGCTATTGCTTAATCTAAAGAAAGCCCCTACAAGAGTTCCAGTGTTTCCCATAATATGTTCAGTTGTATTACTTTACTAAGTACTACAGACGTTTTGTTCGGCAATGATGCTTTATGTCGTTTGATTTAATTCAAATTAGAAAATCAATGGTCATTACTGCTAATGTTACATGAAATGGTATGTCTATAAAAGTGTACGCTTAAAAAGTGCAACGCTACTAATACTACAGTAATATCCCCTCAATTTACATAGCAAGAAGTAGTATTTTATACCTTAATTACCTGAAATAAATATGTGATTTTTTGACGATTTACGTCTACGAGATACATTTTCAGATTATGTAGAACGGTTATGTTAAGCTAATATTCGTATGTTTTCAGGCCGAACCAGGAAGTGTGGAGTTTATATTCGCTTTAAGTTTCCTGGGAACACTCATGTTTCAGATCACCTTGTATTGTTCGTACGGTAACGAAGTCACAATTCAGGTGACCATGACACGGTTTGCGAGTAAATAATACTACATTTTCAGAGTTCGCGTGTATTGGACGCATGCTACATGGCGGAATGGGTTTCTTGCGGACCCAAGGTGCGCCAATGTCTCTTCATTATCATGGAACGGTCAAAACGTCCGATGGTTTTGACGGCGGGAAAATTTGTAAATCTTTCATTGGCCTCACTTGTTGCTGTAAGTTTGCGGCACTTCTTTCAATGTGATGAGTTGATGACTGAGTAAATAGGCTAGTTAACATAGCACTTGTAATGTATCGATTGCCGACGGCTTAAACTCTGCAGCAACGAGCGACAAGGTGACTTCCGGTTGACGAGTATTGACCAATATTTAATCAGTTGATCATTGGCTACCTATTACTGAAAACAGAATTGAAAAAATTTAAACCGTTCGTGAGTTATCGTGCACCGACCAACACTACCTCAAAAAACCAAGAAACTAACTATAATAAGGTGCTAATTAGGTGCTAATTAAGTGCCCTATCCTCAAATTAAATGCTCTTTTTTTTTAAATTATTACATGTTCTGCCAGCTTCATATGAACTCAGCAGAACACTACCTCAAAAAACCAAGAAAATGAAAAGTGAACTAACTATAATAAGGTGCTAATTAGGTGCTAATTAAGTGCCCTATCCTCGAATTAAATGCTCATTTTTTAAAAAAATTATTACATGTTCTGCCAGGTTCATATGAACTCAGCAGAGTACTACCATAAAAACCCAAGAAAATGAAAAGTGAACTAACTATAATTTATTAAGTGCTAATTAAGTGTCCTATTCCCGAATTAAATGCTCCTTATTTTTTAAATTATGAACCTGGAAGAACATGTAATAATTTTAAAAAAAAGGAGCATTTAATTCGGTGATAGGGCACTTAATTAGCACCTAATTAGCACCTTATTATAGTTAGTTCACTTTTCATTGTGTTGGTTTTTTGAGGTAGTGCTCTGATGAGTTCATATGCACCTGGCAGAACATGTCTTAATTTAAAAAAAAAGGAGCATTTAATTCGGGAATAAGGCACTTAATTAGCACGTAATTAGCATCTAATTATAGTTAGTTCACTTTTCATTTTCTTGGGTTTTTAAGGTAGTACTCTGCTGAGTTCATATGAACCTGGCAGAACATGTAATAATTTAAAAAAAAAGGAGCATTTAATTCGAGGATAGGGCACATAATTAGCACCTAATTATGCAGTATGTTTGATTGTGTTTTGCTGACCTTGCTCTGCTAGGTTCATGGACATCACAGACGGACGAGCAAACGGACGAACAGAAAGTCCAAAATCATGAACTTACTTTTTGTAGCTCGTTAATAAAAGGAGGTCAGAGTTTTGGATCAGCAGTAACGGTTAACAAAGTAGTACTTAGAGATAGATAGATCAAGATTAATGACAATTTATGTTTTTTATACCAATCAAACTTTACTTAAATTTTCTATCGTATGCCTTCAATAATTTTAATTGCGTACTACAAAATAATACGTACATATTTGTTTCCAACATTCCACTACCTACTGCAGTTAGAAAGGACAACTTATGTTCAAACTAAAACTAAAATTTAGTGAGCAAAGTGGAAATCAGAGTTATTACTTTAAAAATTGATGTGTAAATCGAAATATTACAAATCACTTTGGCACCTAACATACTAAATACTAATGTACGTATTTTTATTTTAGGTATTTAAATCAGCTGGTTCTTATGCAATGGTTTTATATCATCTATACAATCCATAACGTCATATTGTGGCGAAAAGGAGACAGTACAATTTGGAATTTAATTACTCAATGTTAGCACGATATTAGTTAGTTGAGTTGAGTAGTTGGTATTTTAAACACAATACCCGTAGTTTTTAATTAGTTCGTGATATGCGACACTAAGATAAATGCATTTTGTTGTTAGCTTAGACTAGAATTTAATTAATTTCATCAGGATTTGGCACTATAAAAGATTACTTAGTTGTAGTTGCACGAGCTGTTTAGTTGTGTGAACTATACGAGACGTTAACAAGACCTTTGTCTTTGATTGTTAGTTAATTAATTCAAATACCTGTTCAAATTGTATTTTATCTAAATGAAAGCCAAACTCTCATAACAGTAATGCAGAACTTGTAATGAAAATTAATATAGTTAATAAAAGTACCATTGAGAAGTAAACTATCTGCCATTTATCAGAGGACGAAGGGAAATAATAACTTTATTTCTAAGTAGCGGAATATAAATATGTAAATTGACCCGTTTCTTTTGAACATCTCAATAAAAATACAACTTATATGTACTTAGAGATTGCAAATAAACTAGTGATGACCTTAATTTTCAATCCTTTACCAAATTTTTGTACACCTTAGCCTTACACAACTCAATTTTACTAGGTATACCTATATAACCATGGAGACTCTTTTTAATTATTTAACAAATCGTATCAGAAAAGTCAATTAAATTTATTTGTAGATGTCCAGTAGCGAAATCACTTTCTGGTTCTGGAACTTAGATTACAAACAAATTCTTTTATAACTAACCAAAAACAACATTCGCAATTTACACACGTTCCTCGTGTGTTTTGAATCGTGAATTACTCTTTTAGCCTTACTATCGTCAGTGCTTCGACCTCCGTAATTTTCATCACGTAAAAGGTCCGCAGTAGCACTTTAATTTCTTTTTTAAATTTCACTGAAATGGTGCAGATGCAAACCCTCTCCGCCGCAATTCTATTCTTCAGCGCTTACTTGTGGAGTTCAACTCTTTAACTGCCTTCCAATAAGATTATCACTCTCCAAAATGATTGTGAGCGACAAACTTAATTTAAAAAATTCCAAAATATGATGGTGATACCTACTTTAAAGCATTCGGTAAAGATATACAAAAATCGAGAAATTTAGCAATTTATAGCGTCAATAAAAAACTTGTACTTCATCCATTCATTAGTGTCGATTTTACCATGACAGCCTCAGTTAAGTTTACTAGCAAAATTCTGAGACTTGATTGGATAATTGTTTACTGAACTGAAGTTGTGCTGCAACAGGCCCAGTCGCCTCTTACGACACGCATTTTCCTCTGCTATAGGGGTTCTCGACCATGCACGGATATAATTATTATATGCAAGAATTGACATAAAAGTTCCGATATTTTTCTTGCTACTATAATGTACCTATTCTATGGATGTACCTAAATCGTCAGCTCCCGCGCTAACAAAAGCGGGAAAAACCCGAACTCGGAACACCCGCGTATAGCAAAACAAACTCAACAATGGCAGGATTCCCTACGTTGTGAAAGACCAGGTTGTACTCACTCATACCCAAGCTTATTATCGGAAAGGTGGAACACAAATAACACACCTGTTGAATTTGAAAAGCAAAAGAAAGTTTATTGAATTATTTATCAAAAGTGAAAAATGACTCAAATATGCCGAAATAGTTTAGATAATTTAGACAGAAATCACAGAATAGCCATGTTCCCCTAGCTCATCGGATAAAAGAACCGAGCCGAAGAGAATTCCGAATCATTGTTCACAGAGGGTAAGTATAGAGGAAAATGTGGAGCAAGAAAGGTAACGGTGGAAAACGCATTTTTACATCACATCTATAATATACAAAAATTAACAATCCGAGGAAGTAAGTAATCCTTGAATTTGAATAATTGAAATCGTTAATTTAATACAACAATTGATAAGCTAAAGAAGGCCAGCTTAAATAGATTTCAAAGCGACTCCACTTCTTTCCCATTTGTTGAAAATAACATTCCGAAGCCTCTTATATAAAATACATGAAATACATTGTTAATGAGCCGGACCTTCTCCACTCCAGAATGTAATATGAAGGTCCTGGATACGGTAACCGGGTAACCTTAGACTAAAGGTGAATGCCGCTAAGCATCTTTATGTTTATTACTTCAGCATCCACTTCTCCACTTGCAAAAAAGTTAATTACGCTAAAAAAAGATAGATTCGTTCACAAAGAATCGAAGTCGCTAATCCATCTAAATGAGTTTAAACCCTGGTTTAAACAATCAAATGAAAATTAATAACTGGTCATTCTCGAACAAATCAAATAGGAATAACATTTTATACATTGAAAGCAAATAAAACCAAATTCAAAGTTACAAACCGCAAATGGCACAAATCTTACACAAAAATTGACAAAGTTAGAACAAATTGAACTATACTGACTGGATGCAAAAAGCAAAGTGATGCTAAATTTTACCATGGATCTGTATGAACTCAACAAAAATGCAAAATCAACAAAGCTAAATCAAGACACCACTTCCTTCCTTCCTTTCATGTAACAAGCTATCATTTAAAAGTTACAGACATCAAAAGTAGTACATTATTGAACAATAAGTGCATTATTTCGAGATGTGACATATTTTCAGCAGTGTCTCTGTATATGCCAACGGCACTTGTCGTTTGACACTTTGAAAGTAAACATCTCATTTCCAACCTATGACCCAATTGGTTTCGCTGTTTTTCAAATGTTTGGCATTCACAGAAGATATGATCTAGACTTTCAAACATTCCGCAATGTTTGCACGCGCTATTTTGCAAACTTTTATTTTGCAAAGGTGTGTATGGTAACCGCATGTCCAAATTTAATTCGCTGGGGATCGTCATTTGAAATCTTCTAGGTAGGTAAGTGTAAATGTGTGTGCCAATGTTCTTTAACAGTTGAATTCACGAAAGGTAAGCCCTGTGTCATTATTAGTTTGGGAACTATTTCAAATTATTACCATGTATTTCTTGCTCATGTTTAATCATTTTGAAACACAGGACCTTAACAGGGCGCTACTTAAAATCTCCCCAGGATACCTCAGGACACCTAAAAAACGTTATTTAATCAACTCTACTTTCGGCAAAATTAGGTAGGGTTGTAAATAATGAAGCTATTTAAGCAATAAATTACGAAGCTCTGGATAGGACACATAGCAAATTATTTTTTAAATTACAGTTGTAACTGGGAACTATACTAATGTACAGTTGTAACTGGGAATTAGTGTATAATTTACAGTTGTAATTGGGAATCACACTAATTTACAGTTGTAACTGGGAATTATCCTTGACAGTTACAACGGTAGATTAGTTTAATTCCCAGTTACAACTGTAAATTAGTGTAATTCCCAATTACAACTGTAAATTATAAACTATTTCCTAGTTACAACTGTAAATTAGTATAATTCCCACTTCCCAGTTACAACTGTAAATTAGTATAATTCCCAGTTACAACTGTAAATTAGCATAATTCCCAGTTACAACTGTAAATTATAAACTAATTCCCAGTTACAACTGTAAATTAGTATAGTTCCCAGTTACAACTGTAATTTACAAAATAATTTCCTATGTGTCCTATCCAGAGCTTCGTAATAAATTCTGGTAGAGTTAGACGGTTTAACGAAAAAGTGCGACTAAGACGAAGTGATCAGAAGCAGTGCGTATTTTTTTTTGTATTACCGACCTTATTCTTTGAAACTTAATTCCAATGGCAATCCAGTAAGCTGTTCCATCACTTGCACCCTACCGTTCAAAAATCTCACACTTTATCAGCGCATTTTATTTTTAACAGATAGGTACATAAAGTTAGATACGTGAGTCAGTTAAAATAGAACAGTGAACAATAAATAATTAATAGCAAAGGTCGTGATGCGCTTTTAAGGAGACCCAATGCCACTATATATCAGTTTGGGTGATTTTTTTCTGTGGTGCTGGTGATTTAGTCACATTTTATACTGATAAGGATCTTAGTATCCCTTAGGCGTTGTACAGTTGGTACAAAACCATTGCATAAGATGCTGCTGATCTAAACACCTAAAATAAAAATGTCAGACGGATTTGATATCAATTCCTAGCATCATCTCTACATAAACACGTTCAACTTACAGAAACGAGTGATGACAGCGACAGGTTTACAAATTTTCCTGCAGTCATAACCATTGGACGTTTGGAGCGCTCCATTATAAGAAAGAGATTTTGACGAACTTTAGGTCCACGGTACACCCATTCCGTCATATAACATGCCTCTAAGACTCTGTAACTCTGAAAGACAGTACAGGTAAATTATTTTCATATAATGGTGGTCCCGTTACCTGAATCGTTACTTCGTTACCATAGGAACAGTACAATGTAATTTGGAACATAAGTGTGCCTAGGAAACTTAACGCAAATATGAATTCAACACTTCCTGGCTTTGCCTGAAATGGAAAACCACATTAGTATTAGAGTTCATTTGTTGTGTACAGAGATACTGTTTGCTCGTCTCCCCTATTGCTCAGTTCAGAAATCTCCTATCATTTAGAAACTTGGTACGCAAATGGTTATAGGTAGGTACAGTAGAAAGGAAAAACCATTGCAAACTGCTACCACAACAATTACTAATGTCCGTTATTTTATTAATCCAAGTGTTTCCCAAAAACATATTCAATGTACCAAAGTCAGTTGGCATTGTACCTTTGGCGTTTTCGGAAGATTCGGTTTCGAAAAATCACGGCCAATTTCACGAGAGCACCGGAAGATTTTTACCCAAAATCGTCGTGAAACCTTCATTTTCATGCCTACTTTATGTCAGGAAATTTTATTTTCCATGGTAGAGGTAGACTACTTTTTCTACCGCCTGTCGCTTTACTGGCCGCACCTTTCACTCTTACGGTCGCACCTGTCGCATTGCTAAATGTCTGTAATGACTCCTGTCATCACTGACAGATTGACATTAATTAAACCAAGGATCCATTTTAAAATGCGGTTGATGTGAATCAATGAAGTAACCAATATCTCCCTATAATACTTTAATTAACGATTAATACAAACGGAGAAATTTTACAACCAATTTCGGACATCCGCTGTGTCCATTCTCAAGTAAAACGCGTTAAGGAGAGGGAACACGCATGCAGTAAAAAAATTGAATTATCTAAATTTGATTTAAAAAACTGTTTTTTAATCAAATTTAGGTAATTCAATTTTTTTACTGCCTGTGTTCCCCTTAACGCGTCTGAAACTGGTCATAAAATTTCTCCGTTTGTATTTATCGTTAATTAAAGTATTATTTATTATTCATAGATTGACATTAATCAAATGTATATGAAAATTGGAATTTTATATTATAATACGATTTTGGGTAAAATAGCGAGCAAAGCATGCTATTAATTAATGATTGTGGAAAAAATAAGATTACTTGACTCGGAAATTAAAGTATTTGACCCCAAAAGGGCCTCGTACTGGCGTACTTCCCTGTTTCCTCACCAGTAATGTGCCATTTTCCTGACTTTTATTTAAAAAACAATGAATAAACCTCGGAATGATTCAATGTACTTCAATATACAAAAACCCTTTTCTGCAACACACTGTATCTGTGTTTCGCAATAAACAAGTATCTACTTGACTAAAAAAGGAAAACACAGAGAAAAAACATAAAAGACAATTTTTTTTAAATAATATTGTGGGCAGGCATCACTATATTTTGAGTGTAAAATTAAGGGGACTCTAAAATTAAGGCTAAGGTTAGTTTATAGTTATAGTAGTTTAGTTATTACAGATTATATTGATTAGTATACGTTAGTAAATGCTACGAAATTTATTGGAGAGTTAAGTGCAGTTATATTTGGAATAGAATAAAGTCAAATAATTGATTGTTTGCACAAGCATTTTAGGGTGGGACATTTCCTGATATTGACAGGCCGTTGGTTAAAGTATTTTGGTCCTAAATATTGAATAGAGTGTTTAAATAGTGTTTGATCGTTGAGTGAAGCTAATCCTTCACTTTTGATGGGAGTCTGTAGACTATAATTCCTGTTTGAACGTTCCTTGAATCATAAATCAGGTTATAATTACTTATATCGCCACTTCTTGTATAAAAAGTCCTTAGAACTTTGCAAACAAATAAATGTTGTATTGGCAAAATTTTTAATTCGAGCCATAGAGGAAAAGAGCTTTCTGTTTACAGTAGCACCATTTAATAGAGGCAAATCTATTGACTATAAACATATGAAAAGCTGCGCGCGTATGCGCAGAAGTAACTTTCTTGTTTATGGCCAGATTTTGGTTAAATTTGACCTTTTAATAAAAGCAAATCGATCGATTATATTAAATATGTGAAAATCTAAGTAACAAGATGAGAAGTAAATACAACAAGGTAGGTGGTGAGTAGCAACAAAATTCTTTCGTGCGGAAAAGTTCAGTTTTGAAGAAACTCGTTTTTATAGTTCGTAAAGCTCCTCAAGAAGTAAAATTTTCTAATTGAAGATCGAAGTTTAGTATGTAATTCTGAAATAGTAATTCTGAAATATGATGTTTGACCGGGAATTTTTCATCGAATGTTATTCCAAGGTATTTCAATTTTGTTACTTTTTCCAAAATTGGACAGTCGCACCTCGTAAATGGTGGAATTTGAGTGGAAACGGGAAGCAAAATTAATAGATTTGGATTTAGCGACGTTGACTTGCACTTTATTTTTTAAGGACCAGCTGTTAAGTAGGTTCAAATCTTGGGTAATTAAATCGCCAAACACTCTTTCGCTCTTGAGTGAGTAGAAGAATGCAAGATCATCAGCACAAATGTTTCCGTGAACGGTGAAATGGTAGTTTCAGTAGATCGTCTATAAAAATGAGAAAAAGGACTCCAGAAGCCACTGAACCGTGCGGTGTTTCGTTATTCGTGCGTTGCTAAGATTACTGTTGATATTGACTCTTTGCCTCCTTCCAAACAGGAAGCTCCGAAACCCGTCAAATGGTACACCTCTTATACCAATATCCCCATAGTATTTCGTGATCTACAAGATCGATAGCTTTTTTGAAGTTGATAAATAATACGATCGTTTTTGGTTTAGAATTTAGGCTATTACTTATATATTTTGTTGTGTTAAGTTAAGCATCGGCTGTGGATTTACCAAATTTTTGTTGCTTGCTTAAGATTTTTAATTTCATTCAGTAGTTTTCAAGTCTGATGATCCTGATTTTTTCGAGAAGTTTTGAAAAACATGGCAGAAGGTTAATTGGGCTCAAATTATGTAACGTATTTGGGCCTTTTTTTTTAATAAAACATAATCTAATTTTATAAAAAGTTGGTAGCGATCCTTTTGGGCCAGATTTTCCAAAAACGCCAAGGGTACAGTGGAAACCGGTATATTAATATAGTTTTTATTATACCTGAATCACAATCTCCGTTTTAAACACTCAAATGCGTGCGAAAAAGGGCCTTTAAAACACACGTGCTTTAAAGTTGCTAAGTTGCTAAGTAACGATACTTCAAGTATGACTTTTGAAACTGTCATCTGGATGAAATAAAAAATCCTCTTAGGTCGCTTTCTGTAAATGCAGAACATTTCTTTGGCTTTTGTACCTATCCTTTGGTTGAAGCTTTCACAAACGCGCGTAATTTAGGGTATGCTTCCAAATCTGTTCCACTTTTTAATCGCAGTATTGCTTTGAAGTTTTGAATGAATGCACCAAAATATAGAAGATTTAAATACCTTTGACATTTCCTTCATATATGCCAGCGGATGCATTTAAGACTTTATTCGTAAGTAACTTCCTATTCCATCCATGGAAACAACTTTTCATATTCTTTATAATAGGCTTTGCTGGATTTGGATTTTACACCTACCAACGTTTGTTTAGATTTTACAACAATCGATTTAATGGACGGTGTATTATCTTTTTCAACGGAAATCGTTTAATTCACAAAGACGATGATTTTTATAAGCAAACGTCAAGTGACATTTCCATGGCAATCGTGAAATTACGAACACTCAGCCCACTTAATTAGACATGTATTCGAGTATAACGTCAATATGATTTCATTGTATTTCCTATTTTTAAATTATACTGCAGGTATAATAAAAAATACTATAAGATACACGTGTATAATTGGTCTTTAAAGCACTTGCAACGTTAAAGGCACTCCGCTTTGCGTCGTGCCCTTAAACTCGTTGCGCGTGCTTTAAAGACTTGATTATACACTTGTATCTTAATATACTATTATAGTTTTATTCAAAATTATCTGGCGCTCTCTTGAAGTTGGTCGTGATTGTAGGAATTGGATTGTCAAAGGTACAATTGAAACAAATTTTGGTACAAGGAGATACATTGAATTTAGAACCAAGCACATTCTTTCATTTTCGAGCAGCTCATTTTTTGCGAAAAATAAATAATCATCAGTTAAAACTACCTATTTTTAAGAATTCTTTTTTGTTGAAGTTTCAGTAGTAATGGATTACGCGTTGAAAACTGAAGCTAAGTGTTTACCAAATATAAAATTGGTACGTTTTATTATTAAATCCGACTTGGTCATTTAAGCTTTCTATTATGGACCTTTTTAGGTAAATTTAAGGTTTACTTATCACCGAGGAGGTCTAACTTCTGAACTATAATACCCCTAGATTTACACAACTTACGTTTATCGATGTAAATCCAGCCAAACAGATCCCGAACGCACTGCATAAAAATTGGCTTAAAAACACGTAAGAGAAAATGTTCTCGATAGTTTCAGTAAATCTACAAAACTAAAGTGTTTAATAATTCGTAACACTTATATTGACTTACTTAATTACAGCAAGATGATGTTCCACGCATTGGCTTAGATCACTGTATACTTGCTCATCAAATTTTTCGTAGCTGCGGATATGATTTTCATTTGCTTTCTTTTGGAATTCGTTTGTTGTCGATATGATGGTTTCGGTTAATATCGCAAAATAAGCTGAACAAAGACCCATCATGCTTGTAGATAAATTATCAAACCCGATACTGGAGCAGCATGCCGAAGCTAACCCCAAGCATTGATACAAGTAAACCGAGATGTAAGTTAGAAAGGAGTGCTTTTCGAAATCCAAAGGAAAGGGTAGAGGTGTAAGACGAGTTCCTTTACTAGCAAAAAGAGGCGTTGTTATCATGCAAAATACAGTAGTAACACAACTGCAGAGAAATAGTTTTACTACTGCTATGGCAAAGTCGATAATTCGCTTGAGATGATGGTCTACCTCATCCTTGTGGTAAGAAAAATGAGGCGAGTGGAGAAAGTCTAAAAGATCTAAGAACACCGGCATTTTAAAGTAAAATATTGTAAATTTGATCACACAGTTGAGAATGGCTACAAACATAGACCATCCTTGGATTAACTGCGAAAAGTCTTTAACCACCATGGTACTTAGAAGTAACGATAAAGAAAAAGTTGCTAGTAACCAATAGTGACTGGCGCCATAAATGCGATAGAGTGTGCCGGAATCTCTTCTAGGCCACAACCCAGTCATAATCATCAATCTCTTTTGAATCTTAAATGCGTTCGAATTTAATGAAATCGCCATTTTAGAAAATTAGCGCTCACGATTCTATTATACTGGTCAACACCAACAACTAACTAAAACACAACTACTTGAGAGGGAAAATAAATCATATTTTAAATTGTTATGTAGATGTAGGTAGTAATTTCACCTGATATCTGTTTGGTACGCCCATCCTAATATAAGGTTTTACTGTTATTTAAACCGTCGGAGAAATGATCATCTTCATTCGATATTCAGAAAACGTACATTGAAACTTATTCGAGACGCGTTTCTTTAGCTAGTACAGGCGTGTTCTAGAAGTTGCTTCACATAGTGAAGAGACAACTCAACTAAAATTACTTATTTAGTTAGTGGGAAATATATTAATGTGTAATGTGTACTTCTGTCAGGTGCACAATTTAATTAAACATCTGTTATTCACGCACGTAGAGTTATCGAAATTGAATCTCGAATTACGTGTGATCAATAAATGGAATAAGTACATCATTTTGCAGGTGGATTAAGTTAACACCCCTAAATCCGCACCCGATCTGCAATTCTCCAAATTTTGTGCGTTTCCCGTCAGAATTTTCCGTTGGGGGTCCAACTTAATACTGGAAGCTGGAACACCATCATTCTTGTATGCACATAACATAATGCTATAGTTTTGTGCTCGTTTTGTGCAGATTTCTGCGCCAATATTTAGGCTTTGTGCGCCTTTCTTTTCGAAGTAATTCAAAATTTCTAAAGGGAGTGCAAAGTTAACGTAGTTACAATCGACTTACCTCGAAACCTATGTTTTTGTGCCTATTTTGTGATGATATGTGCGTGAATGCCCGAGTTTGGTGCACTTTCCCTTTCGGAGAAAATCAAAATGTTCAGTTGGGGGTTCACCCTAACGCTACCCATTGTCAGGGTCGTATCAAGATGACACACACACCATAGCTTTGTGCTGATTTGTGTGTCTCTCATTTGTACATATTTAAAACTTCTACAAAGGCGGCTGACTTAACGCAACATCCTTTGTAATGGGTACCTATGTTATCAAATCATAAATAAACTACCGTATATAGTTGTCTATAGTATTTCCTACATTATTTGTTATTAAACTTCTCACAGCACCTGGAATTATTCCGCATTTTACAAATTTATTAACTTATGGATAGAACAACTCAATTTTTTCCTAAACGAAAGGAAGGCGCACACAACTTAGGGATCGGCGCACAAATTAGAACAAAATGAGCACAATATTTTGGCGATGTAAATTGGAGTGCCGATTTAGGGGTGTTAACTTAATCCAGCCTTCTAATGCAATGTATGCAATCGCAATTCGCCCCGGGAGAACTTGACGCTGGCCCTAGAAGATTCGCTCCCAAACATTTGCCCCAAGTAGTATTCGCTATTCAAATATTTGCCCTCCGAGAATTCGCACATGGAGAATTCACCCACGTCGGGATACTCTCTCGGCAGCAACTCGCTCACAGGACAATCCACATTCAGGAAAAGCATAAATCTTGACATATTTGAAACAATGCTCTGTCAAAGAGGAGTACAAGTTGTTTGGTCGATCGAAGCGTTGAACAAAAGTGGAGAACGTAAGTACATACATAAATCCAAAACTGTCTCAGTATGTTAGACATCAAATTAAGCTTACGCGTTCTTATCCCTACTGTTTCCTCGTCAATCTATCCCGTTTCCCCATAGAAAACTCCAAATTAAATTTCAGTCGATGAAAAAATAACTGAGTTAAAGTAAAAATACTGTTGATTAACATATAAAAACTGGGTCTCTGAAAATCAATATTGTAATTTATTTAAAAAGACAATTTATGCTTCTAACAGGAAAATAATACCATGTTGTAGAGAAGACTTTAAACTTGATGTGGGAAACTATATCCTACAATCCCCATTTCTTATGTTATGGAAATTTGGAAATTATCCCAACGTCGATTGCGCCCAAAGCGTCGTTACTTTGCTATTTCATGAAAATTAATCGATACGTTTATCGAAATGTAACTGGACGCTCTTTTAATCTAAAATTTATTATGGGGTGGCCGAGCCAACTTGAATTCAGCCCCCCCCCCTCCACAGAAAGGAATTACATTTTTTAAATTAAATGTTGTACTGAAATGATTTACAAGTAATTGCAATTTTTTAGCGCCACTCAAGAGCAAATCGCAAATACCTGTTTTTGTTAATGTATGAATTACGAGCTCATTTGCAAGCAATTGCAATTTTAGACATGTACTTATAAATCCTTTGGAAAGCCAGGTGTAGTCGGACGTAGCCCCTCCTCTCTTTTTTGCTTATTTCAAAGTATTTTTGATTCATGAATTACGAGCTATTTAAGCGCTTTCACCTATATCTTTGACTATTCAATTCATCTAACATTTGTCACATTTCAACCAGTGAAATGTCTCGATTTCAAATTGCTGCGCCAATGGGAAGGAATTATAGTGATAATTGCACGTGTGGTATTTCAGCGATAATTTCACGTGTGGTATTTCAGCGACAATTCAATGCGATTATTCAATGACATTTGTCAAACTTCCACCAGTGAAATGTCGCGAAATTTTGTCGTATTAACCGGAACATTCTTCTTAGTTTGTTAATCAATTTCGACAACCGACTTATCACCACATCTTTTAATTTAATCACTCATAACGAATTAGCTTGGAGCACAAAAGTTCGAATAGAATCAATAGCAAAATGAAAAGCAACTTCCATAATTTATTTTGACGTTTATTGTTGTCATGGAAATACATTCGCGTGGGTAATTATGCTTAATTTTTCTTTTGATTCATTGAATAGTCCTCCGAATACCATTCGTAGTCGAAGTATTTGTAGATTATTTTTGAGCTGCTGCTCCACTCATGCTAGTTACGCTTTTTAATACCACTCGCGCAAGCGCTCGTGGTATTAATCAGCGTAACTAGCATTCGTGACAGCACCTCAAAAATATTCGACAATACTTCGACTACTTATGGTATTATATATGAATATATATTCAAAGCTTATATGCATTTTCAATTTTTTTGCTTCACTTCTAAAAGGTGAAACATAAAGATGGTTGTGAGGAAGCCAGGTGTATTCGGATCTAGTCCCTCATGTTTTTCCTATACTTACTAACACGTGATCGTTTATAATTGTGTATTGCTTGCTGTCTGTCCGTCCGTCTGTCTTGTATAATAAAACAGATTGAATGAATGAATATCTGTCAATGTGGGACGATAACTTTGTTTAGAAACGTCCGATCGCTTTTAAATTCGTGGACATGTTCTTAAGGATACAAGACGCTATTGTTTTTCAGCTAGGTAGCCAAAATATTACAGACCAAAAATGATCTCGAGAATCGTTCGCTATTCATTTGTATTGGATTTTTTATAAAGGTTCTATGGTCGTGATACAACAAATGACTTCAATAACTTTATCTCATAAAATATTAATGAAATCAGGCGTTAGGTAATATCTTTGAAACTTGTGGTATCATGCCGGGTTTCTATTAATACCTCGTAGTTTCGATACAAAATTTAATTTGAAAAATGTAATTCCTATCAGTGGGGAGGGGGGGGGGGCAACGAATCCAAGTAGATTCGGTCACTCTATAATAAATTTTAGATTCCTAGTGATTTAAACGAGCTTGAAAATTTCCTAAATAGGTCATAAATGGGATACAATTCTTAATAGTGGGGGGAGGAGGGACTAGGGCCAGCACAGCTATACCACGGATCGAGGGTAAATGCTATGTTGGGTGGAGATCATCATGTAACGATTTTTAGGGCGTAAGTATTCTTATAAATAAGAAACTGATAAAAAACACCTGATGTTTAAAATATGCGACATTTTTGTCTTTACTAGAAGAATGGATGCTTGAAATTTTGAAAAATATCTCCATAAATAAGAAAGTACACATTGGGCCGTTTGCGCATGCGCACATTAATCGTCAAGATTTACCTTGGTTGAGGTACCAGAGCTTTAAGCTACCGAATGCAAAGAACGAAGCGACGAACTGAATATCTTGAAAACTGTAGGAGTAGTTAAAGTCTCGGACGGGCGGAGAAAGTGGCCATAATAGCGCCTTCCAACATCAGCTGGGGAATGCGCTAAAATATCATTGTGAGGTAAAGGTCTTGTTATCGGAAATGTGACCTATGTATTAATTTATCGGGCAAGTTATGCTGTTGTATAGCTTTTACCGTAATATTGTCATTTAGAGTAACAGACGTGAAGCTGGAGTACCATTCTCAAAATTTGAATGACTAGGAAACGAGCAGCGCATAAAATTTGTAATACCGCAAAAATAAGCTCCAAGGATGTCACGGTCCTCGCGTGACAGCCCTGGGCACCACTTTGTAACGGATCGCTACCAATAGAAGAGTGTATTGGTATCTTGTAAAGGGTTACATTTTTTCTTAGGATCGGGGTGCAAACTCTTTTGGTGATCTCTTCCTCTTACCTTTTTGATACGTTTCCTTCCAGTAAGCGCAGGTAAAAATTTGTATAAATTAAGTAGAGTATTCAGTTCATTCCGATTTCACTGGTATCACTTGTCATCAAGATGTAATCAAAATTGGGAAAAATACCTATTTATATTCTGGAAAGATTATGTAATTTTCATTCGGTCTTTTCATTGAAACAAAAACTCCCTTTACTTTCCCTTTTGTAGACTAAATGAACAAATCTAATTCTAATAAACGTTCAAAGGCCGCACACAAATAGAGAAGTTTATTCAGTGTTAATTTCGTTCACTACTGTATTTCGCAGGTAATGAAAAATTGTGCCTCTTTAATTACTGCAATTGAAGCAAGTCGCTACCCTTCAGGCCGATGGAAATTTTCAACGTTTCGCATCCAATGTCCGCCGCTCTGCTTTCAGGAAGATTTTGCATTCTTACCGGTTTAGGTTCCCAATAGTCTGTACTGCTTTACTGATTTTAGTTGGATATCTTTTTTATGGAAACTCTCCAAAATTTAACGCTTTCCGGCGCAAAATAATCGCGTACTGGTTAAATCAAACAAACGCATGCTGTTTAATGAAAACGTGCTAGCGAATGAGAACAAATCCCAAACTTCTTTAAGATATACCAAAATGGAATACTATATGTTTTCGTCGATGGAGCTGATGTTAATTCTTCTTAAACAACTTTGTTATTTTTCACTAAATGGAAAATCTTTTCCCGACACTATAAGTACCTACAGGCGCTCTTTTAATTTAAATAACCCCCACTATTAAGGACCACCCGCTTTTTAAAACACAAATTTCTATTGCTAATTTTCCAATCGCATTTCACGCTAGATACTAATATATCTCATCGCGAGCGAGTGGATCATTTTAGTAACTACTATGAGAACTGGTGATTTGCGTAATTATTGATATTGATATTTGTTTGCCGTGTAATTTCATTTTACATTTTAAGTTATACTAAGAAATTCTAATTTTTGCTCTACAGTTATAGTAAAAAGAAATTAAATTTTTACTACAAAGTTGCGCTATTACAAGTATACCTTCAAAATTAGTACGTGCTACAACCCCTCAAACGATTAAGTGAAAAAACACAAAGAACAGTAAAATATTGACATGTTGAAAGCATTTTCTTGTTCATGATTAAGTATGCTGTTCCTTTACTTGCATCCTACGTTTCAAAAAGGAAACGTCACACTTTACGAACGTATTTTATTTTTAACAGATGTACATAAAGTTAGATACACTAATGGAACAGTGAACAATAAATAGTTAATAGAAAAGGGCGTGATGCTTTTTTAAGGAGACCCACTATATCAGTTTGGGTGATTTTCGGTGGTGCTGGTGATTTAGTAACATTTTATAAAGAAACGGATCTTAGTATAACCACAGATATACGTTCTTTACGTATATCTGTGGTATAACTTAGGCGTTGTACATTTGGTACAAAACCATTGCATAAGATGCTGCTGATTGAAACACCTAAAATAAGAATGTTATTAGACTGTTTTGATATCAATTCCCAGCAGTATCTGTACATAAACACGTTAAACTTACAGAAACGAGTAATGCCAGTGAGAGAGTTACAAATTTTCCTGCAGTCATAACCACTGGACGTTTGGAGCGTTCCATTATGAGAAAGAGATTTTGACGAACTTTAGGTCCACAGTACACCCACTCCGTCATATAACATGCCTCTAAGACTCTGTAACTCTGAAAGACAGTACAGGTAAATTGGTTTCAGATAATGGTGGTCACGTTACCTGAATCGTTATTTCGTTACCATACGTACAGTATAATGTAATTTGGAACATAAGTGCTGCCAGGTACAGTAACGCATACATGAATTCAAAACCTCCCGGTTTAGCCTGAAATGGAAAAACACATTAGTAACACTGTTCGAATTCATTTCTAATTGTTTACAGAGTTACTGTTTGCTCGTCTACCCTATTACTCAGTTCAGAAACCTCCTATCATTTAGAAACTTAGTATGCAGAAGGTGTTACAGCAGAAAGGAAAAACCCTGGGAAAAACCATCGCCAACTGCTACCAAAACAATTACTTATTAAAAATGAACGCGTTTCGATTAAAAAAAAGCTTAATTGTATACCAAAACCAGTTTGCACTGTACCTTTTCCGTTTTCGGAAGATCCGGTTTCGAAAAGTCACGGTCAATTTCACGAGAGCACTGGAAGTGGTTTCCAAATATAAATATTGCTATATTTTATTGAAATCCGAATTCGTTTTTTTGTAATATTCATTAAAACTTTCTATAATGGACATTTTCGAAATATCTTTTCAGGTAAATTTGTGGTTTACTGAACATCGAGGAGGTATACCTAACTGAACTAGAAACTAGAAACACACCTAGATTTACAAAACTTACTTTTATCAATATAAATCCAGTCACACAGATCCCGAACGCACTGCATAAAAATTGGCTCAAAAACACGTAAGAGAAAATGTCCTCGATAGTCTCAGTAAATCTACAAAACTAAAGTATATAACAATTCGTAACACTTACATGGACTTACTTAATTACAGCAAGATGGTGTTCCACGCATTGGCTTAGATCACTGTATACTTGCTCATCAAATTTTTCGTAGCTGCGGATATGATTTTCATTTGTTTTCTTTTGGAATTCGTTTGTTGTCAATATGATGGTGTCGGTTAATATCGCAAAATAAGCTGAACAAAGACCCATCATGCTTGTAGATAAATTATCACACGCGATACTGGAGCAGCATGCCGAAGCTAACCCCAAGCCTTGATACAAGTAAACCGAGATGTAAGTTAGAAAGGAGTGCTTTTCGATATCCAAAGGAAAAGGTAGAGGTGTAAGACGAGTTCCTTTACTAGCAAAAAGAGGTATTATTGTCATGAAAAATATAGCACTAGCACAACTGCAAAGAAATAGTTTTCCTACTACTATGGCAAAGTCGATAATTCGCTTGAGATGGTAGTCCACCTCATCCTTGTGGTAAGAAAAATGATGGGTGCGGAGAAAGTCTAAAAGATCTAGAAACACTGGATGTTTAAAGTCAAATATTGCAAATTTGATCACACAGTTGACCATGGATATAAACATAGACAATCCTTGGATGAACTGCGTAAAGTCTTTAGCTACTATGGTACCTAGACATAGCGATAAAGAAAAAGTAGCTACTAACAAATGGTTAAATAAACCATAAATGCGATAGAGTCTGCTCGAATCTCTTCTAGGCCACATGCCAGTCATAATCAGCATTGTCTTTGGAATCGTGAATGCGTTGGAATATAAAGAGATCGCCATTTTAGAAAATCAGCGCTCACGATGATATTGCACTGTTCAACACCCAACAACTAACTAAAACACTTACACAACTGCTTGGGAGGGAAAATAAATCATATTTTAAATTGTTGGGTAGTAGATGTAAGTAGTAATTTTACCTGATATCTGCTTGGTACGCCCATCCTAATATAAGGTTTTATTATTACCTATTTGAACGGTCTGAGAAATGCATCTTCATTCGATATTCAGGAAACGTACAATGAAACTTTCCTCAGATGTGTTTTCTTAACTAGGTAGTTAACTGTTGTTCTAAAATTGGCTTCAAATAGAAAAATCAACTTAACTAATTTAGGAGTGGGAAATATATACCTACTCAATAGGGTGGCAATGAAAGATAAAACAATTAGAAAAGTCACGTGAAACTGAAAGTTGCGTGACTTTTTTAATTGCCGATCCTTCCATTTATTTCCGAGTAAGGTTTTATAGGTACTTTGGGTTTATTAACTGCACTAAAATATAAGACACAATCCATTAATCTAATTCGCAGTGTACCTCACTCGGACGTAAAGTAGTTGTGTTTTACCCGATATTGCACAGGATATACAATGATACGTAAGTAGCGTCCTATTTGCCTAATTATTTCCAAAGCAAAAGTGTGCTTTTTTGCTTTCTCTTTAAACAATAAGAAAGCATTTAACGTTGGTAGATTCGTTTGCGAGTACCTCTAGGTATTAACATTTATCAACATAAACTTGTGTCAGCTGCAGTTGAAAAGCCACCCTTCGTGCGAACATAATGCCGTGCGGTCGTTGTAGAAAGATTCGTCTCGGTAAGGTGAAAATTCGCCCCGCGACACATTCGCCTCCGAAAATCTGTTCCCAGAAGATTCAATCTCAGAAGTATACTCTCTTACAAGAACTCGCTCAAGGGAAAATTCACGTTCAGGATCAGGAGTGATCTTATAAGAACCTAGTCTGACACAGCTGCTTCGCGTAGCCAGTGTTAAATGGTTGACATCTGATAATGAGATTCATTTGCATGCCGGAGTTTACCCTTAAAAATAATCGCCCCACCATTCAAAGAGAAAACGCAGTTTCGGTATAATTGCTAAAAATGGTCGATTTCACCCTCAAAGTTAATTGAGTTTTAGATTATGCATCGTTTAAAATCCATGGTAACAATTGTCGAAACAATTTGTAATTATAGCAATCTGTAGTGGAGTCTATAGGGTGAATGTAGGAAACAGAAAATGCATTTTCAGTAACTTTTAGGTTTGATCTAGTGACCTCTCCCCGGGATATTCGTTCTGATAGTGTAACGTTGGAAAACTCGATAAGGATTGAAGAATTTCTCAGGTTCGTGATAGGTATAAACTCTTCTTTTAATTTCTTCGTCTTGTTTTGTTGAAAGTGCCTTTGGAACTTACCTTTCTGTACTTTTACTTCCAGCTAGGGCCAGATTTACGTACAAGCACGTGCTTGTGGTTCCCAATCCAAGGGGGCCCCCCGGTGCAGTTGAAATGTCGCGTACAGAAGCTTGTAAAATGAATTAGGATGTGTTACTCTAACGTTTACTAAACTTTATGTTTTAAGGTCCCATCCCTATCTCGTGCTTGGGGGCCCCCGCAAGCTGTAAATCCGACTCTGCTTCCAGGTAGCTTAGGTAAAAGTAGTTTAAAAGAGGAAAGAATTTAGTTCATTTCGCCTTCACTGATATTTCATTAATCGCCTATAGTTTGTAACCAAAATTTGGAAAAAATATTAGTTAGTAATTCGCATTTATGCTTTTTCCTCGGCTTTTTCTTGATAAAACTCTTTTTACTTTCCCTTGTAAAGTAGCAATAATTCCAAAGAATTATCAAAATGAATGCATATACCTATATTTATGTAAACAATGAAAATAAGCAATTTATTATAAACATTTTAAAAAGAGAAAAGAAACCTAATTCCGACTAAATCCCACTAAAATATCCCTACAGCTAAATAACTATATCCAAACAATGCAATGATACTGTTTATATAAACCAATTTCTCATTACACATTATAACTATAAAACCAACCCGCTTTTTATATACGACTCAAACAAATTCTAGCGATAATTGTTTCATATAAATCAAATCGCAATATTTGCACATTTTTACTTTACGTAGCTGTTAAAGAGAAATGCTGAATGCTTTCTTTACATTTTACTTCACGAGTCATAATTATTGTCAAGCCATAATTCCGAATCCTTTGCTTACCATGCTAATAATAATAATAATAATATTTAATAAATGTCCAACAGAAAATCTTTCCAATTACAGGACAAACTTAACTTAACTTCATTAAGCACGTAGTGTTTCATATAGCTAAAATAACTAAATTAGTAAACTTATAATTAACATAAAAGAACTCTAATAAACAAAATTAACATTAGAAAAGTAAATAAAGATTTACTTTACAAATGCAGGTTAGGTACCCACAGAAAATCGAAACAAAAATGCTGACAAAACAATGCATTTCCGTATTGTGTATATAACATGAAAAATAAGAAGCAATAAAAGACAAAAAATCAATGTAAACATTGTTGCAATATTGATGGCAAGCTAGAATTGTTGATATCACAGCGTTGGCTTATCGAATTAAATATACGACATATAGTGACAATAGGTGATTGAAATAGAATTTCTGTGCGGGGAGTGTTGTAGTGAAATGTTCTAGAGCTAGTATTCCGTACACTGGTATGAGGTATTTTAAAATTGATAGCTTTCAATAGATCAGGACAGTCAATATGATTGTGTAGTAGATTAAATAGAAATGTTACATAATTGATAGTTCTCCTAGTGTCTAATGATTGAAATTGAAACATATGCAGCAATTCTTTGTGATCAAAACCTCTCACAGGATAAGTACCATAAGTTTTATAGTGCAAAAATTTTAGAAATTTTCTTTGTATAGATTCAAGAGCATTCTTATGGGCCGTGTATGTCGGATTATATATAAGTGAACAGTACTCAATTTTAGAACGCACTAAACTATAGTACAACGATCGAAGTGCTAATTGATTAGAAAAGTGTTTACAGTTTCTAATTATAAATCCAAGCATACGATTTGCTGAATGACAGACATCTTTGATGTGGTCACTAAAAGTAAATTTACTATCAAACGTGACACCTAAATCTTTTATTGAGAAAAAACGTTGTAATTTTGCATCATTAATAGTGTATTCGAACTGAATTGGGCGCACTGTACGGGTAAAAGAAACTATTTTACACTTCGCGACGTTAAGAGACAACAAGTTAACATTACACCAATTGCTTAAAGCATTAACGTTTGTTTGGAGATGTAAACAGTCTTCAGCACTCGATATAATAGAGTATATCTTCAAGTCATCTGCGTATAGTAACTTATGGCAGTAGATAACGTCAGCTACATCGTTGATAAACAAGCAAAACAAGAGAGGACCTAAGTTGGAACCCTGCGGAACCCCTGCATGCACCGGTGACGATGTGAAATTATTAAATGTAACAGTTTGAACACGATTCTTGAGATACGACTGAAGTAAACGTACAAGGTTTTCATGAAATCCGTAGCGACGTAGCTTCTTTATTATGATTTGATGTGGTATTCGATCAAAAGCCTTTGATATATCGGTGTAGATAACGTCTACCTGTCCTCTTCGATCCAATACTTCAGATACAAATTGCTTGAAACATGTTAAGTTGCTTAACGTCGAACGCTTGCTAATGAATCCATGCCGACACTCCGAAATTATATTCCTAACATTACAATATATTTTGTTATACAATGTGATTTCAAACACCTTACTGAAGTTATTCAATAGACTAACCGGGCGATAATTCTCCACGTTGTTAGCATCTCCGCTCTTCAGGACAGGAGTAATATTAGCAACTTTCCATATCTCGGGAAAAACGCAAGTCCTTATAGCAGTATTGAAAATTAGACTCAATGGTTTTACAAAAACATCTCTGCAATCTTTTACAAGAAAACTTGGGATTAAATCTTTACCAACAGTAGTCTTAGCTTTTAATTTATTAATGGCATCTTTGACTTCACTTTCGGAAATGACAGTAACGTTAATATTTGGCATGTTGAAATCTTCTAAACTATCCTGGGTGTTGGAGGGAACATTTACAAATACACTACTAAAGTATTCACTGAACACTTCAATAATTGATTTCGGTGACGAGGATACCTTGCCACCGTATTTAATGATGCCTGGAATACGAGGAGTAGATTTCTTTTCTCGGATGAATGTCCAAAATTGCTTGGCGTTAACTTTAAAAGAATTTTCTACCACATGCATATATGAATTATAGGAATTGGAAATTTGCTTCTTTATTATTCGGCGTATGTCTCTATATGCAATTAAATACTGGTCACGTTTGTATGTGCGGTATTTTTTCAAATATTTTGATTTTAGATTAATATTTCTAATAATGTCTTTTGTAAACCATTTTGGATAATAAGATTGCGCATAAAAGCATCGTGGAACGTAAATATCAAGTAACTCGTACAGAACAGCATAGAATTGATCACAAGCGATGTTTACATTATGGCAGTCGTCTAAAAAAGACCAATTTATGGCCTGAAGATGATTGTACAAACTATAGTAATCGGCTCTTTTAAAGTTATACGGTGTGTTGTCTTGATTCCTAGTAAAGTTTGGTAGCGGCTTTGAAGCTAACTGGGTGAATATCTGAAGAGCTGTATGATGGCCATCTTCGGTGAGTAATGCGGCATAATCGTGGCTTACAAAACAAATTAGATCACTCATTACTAGATCTAGGCACCTGTTGTTAGCGTTGGGAATGCGGTTATATTGTGTTAAGTGTAGAGTATCGATAAAGGTTTTCATTATTCTGCTTTTTGTATCGCACACACTCTCATTATTGTAATGTGGAATATTAAAATCACCTGTTATGAATATTTTGCTCCGATCAAATTCAAAAGTTTCAATCAATTCAAATAAGTCTTGGTAGACATTTGGAGATGTTGAAGGAGGTATGTAGATGTTAAAAACATAAACAGTAGCAACATTAAAGTAGCATTTACAACCAACGATATCGATTGAGGGTAATACATTAATTATAAAAGAAAGATCTAACATTTGAGAAACTACAGTGTCTTTTACCGCAATCAAAGCACCTCCACCCCATCTTTGATTAGTTAATGCGTATCTACGGTCACATCTATATACTGTATAACGTGAAGGAAATAGTTCTGAACTGGATATTTCTTCTGTGAGTGCAGTTTCAACAAGGTTTATTAAATCATATTCACATTCACACACTTGGGAGTAAAAGTTGACAATTTTGGATCTAAGTCCGCGCACATTTTGAAAATAACAATTGATGCGAGCAAAATTACAAAAATTCGTTGTACTAGCGTTGGCGTTGGACGTTGCATTTAGTTTTTTGCCGAAATGATTTTTGGGACTCCTCTCACGTATTTAATAGTCAAATGTTTTTCGCCTTTGCCCAGTCTATCATTTAACTCTACGCGTAAATCATTCAAATATTTACGTTGCATGGGAGTTTGATCCGCTACAATTGAAATTTTATTACCGGTAGCACGTAGTTTGTGCTTGTTTTTTAGCAATGTAATCACAT